GGTAGAACCACAGTTGTTGTGTTTCCTTAAGAGTAAGTTGGGTGAATATGAAAGATGTGCTGGTCGCAGGATGATAGTAACATTAAAAGAAGTAATAGTAAACAGTTACTTTAAAGAAGTTGTAAAAATCGGTTGTTTTTGTTTTGATCCTGGCTTTTTATGGCTCGTCCAAATGTTAGAAAGTGCTAGTTTTCCTGGCACCAACTTCATGAAATAAATGTGTTATGTCATCTAAGTAACATCTAGCATTAATTAGGTTAAGGAGTGTCCTGGGTCCTGATAGAGTCTTGTCAATGTACTTGGCTGCATTTCATTTATGGCATATTCATAAATGCTTAAAACCATTAAAAACATGCACATCTTTTGAGGAACAGATGTGATGATGCTTTGTAAATATAATTATATAGAGGAAGGCAGGAATGGAATGGGATTAAGTTTGCTGCCCCCCCCCCCCCCCCCCCAGACAGGAGAGGTCACTTGAATTGGTAGGAGAGCATGCTTCCTTGTCCCAGATCCTGTCTCTTGTTTTGGCTGGTGAATTCACTGATACTTGTAATGTTATGATAATTATTGAAAAGCACACCATACTTAATGTAGCTAGATGGCGAATATGCTGTTGCTGTGATTAATCCTATTTTGTAAATTTGAAGTTCAATAAAAATGAGAAAAACAAAAGCTCTTTGACATTGTGATGTTCAGAATGGATTTTTTAAACTATGTGTGGTCAAAAAATTAGCAGATGCTACTGGTAAGATGATATCAGTGTCTAATATTTAAAGTGTGTTTTTGAGGGTTTGAGAACAAGCCAGGGAACTTTAAATGAACATAAGATTTTGCCCATTATGCTTTCCAAAGCTTGCAGAGCAAAGTAAATCAATTGCAATGCAATGAAATTGAAATTGAATCTGAGGAAAGTGTGATTTTCTAATACTTTTTTAATTCAGCGGTGAAATCTTTGTTAAGTATTGGATTCTCAGGTGGTAGAACTCTTATTAGAACACTCAAAGTATGGTTTGGGAAAATATTTCTGTCAATTTACTCTTCCAGGCAGGGAGATGTAGTCGTGTTAATTAAACAGTAGCTTTTTATCTCATTCCCCCACCCACCCATGCTGCTTCTCCCCTGCTTTTCACTTAGGTTTTTGATTGTGGTAAGATAATTTGCTATTTCAACCTTTTTAAAATGTATACCACATTTACACAGTGCCACCATCACCACCACCCCTCTGCAGAACCTTTTACCTGCTCTTTAGCATCGTAGTGGAAACTTGAACACTGCTTAGTTTCACTGCTCATTCATGTGCAGTGAATGCGTAGACTTTACTGTTAATCTTTCAACACATGTTTGTTAAATGCCTATTCTATTCCAGAAAATGGAAATGAGTAAACTCTCTTATTTTCCTCTTCATAATTTAGTGGGTGTTTGGTTATCCTGTTGGCTGATATATGTGTAAATAATTTCTTTGATCAATTTCTCAGGTTTCTTATGAAGAAATATTTGGAGAGGTAAAGTGGAGTTTGGTTTGAGTTGCAAACAAATTTTGATAATTTATGTGTGTGATTTCCCACAGTTTCCTTTTATGTGTGTTTTCCACAGTCATGTTAGTCTTCCCTTTACTTAACAAGAATAAAGACAGAGCAAATGGATCCCAAGTTTACTGGGCTTTGATTTGGTAACTAATTGAATGACGATTACATTAAATTAGATGAAGGATTTGGTCATTTGTGATGTAATTTTGGGTATATAGTATCATGTCTTTGCTGTTGCTGTTTGAATTTTTCAGATTAAATTTAAAACTTGGGGATCTGTAAATTGGTAAGACTGACAAATTATAAATCTTGGGTAGACTGGGAGAATTGTGCCTCTGAAACTTTTTGGGAAGTGCTGTTCCTTCTGGCCAGTCATTTTTAACCAGAAATTTCTGTAAAGATGAGTTGAGAAGGGTTTACTAATAGAATATTAACTGTGTGTTAGGCCTGACTTTCCATTCATCTCTGGGTCAAACACAGACCTTGTCTGGGGATAGTGCAGTGAGCTCACCAAACTAGATCTAGGTTTTCATGGAGTTTACAACAGAGTAATTTAAAATAGGTTCTGAAGTGGACTCCAGGAGGATTCCCTATAAAACGTGAAGACATGGTTGTATTTCAGCCATACTTAGTTAAGAAATCAAGTTCATTACTTCTTGATTAACCCTCAGTGGCTGAAGCCACTGTGACAAGACAGTGCCAAGTTCCTGAATAAAGCATGCACTTTGTCTGGCACTGAAGGGAATGGCTGTATCCCTGTTGGATGTACAGTGTGCTCTAGGAAACGCTTTGTCCATGTAGGTGTCAACTGAGAGGGTGAATTTTCACAGCCCTAATGAAGATGTCAACTTATAGACATTCCTCAGTGTTCAGGTGATTTATTAGAGCACTCAGCCACCAGTAGGACCCTGGCTCTGCTTTGCTCATCCTGCTTCTGTGCACTCCTTGGGGCCCTTTCATTCAGAAACCAAATCTGAAAACTTTCAGGGCAAATGTTAAGGAATGGAAAAAACTATGAAAAACTTACCTACAGTAGGGCATGGGCTTCCAGATAAGTACTCTGCTTAAAACCAAGACAGTTATTCTCTGGGAAGAAAGTTGGTATCCCCCCCTGTCACCTCACGCAAGTTCAGCCAAGATGTTGCAATAGCAGGGTCTTAAAATACTGGTCAGACACAGAAACATCAATTCCAAAGAGCACCTGCACCCCTATGTTTATAGCAGCACTATTTACAATAGCTAAGCTTTGGAAACAATCCAAATGCCCAAAAATAGATGACTGGATCAAGAAGATGTGGTACATATACACCATGGAATATTACTCAGCATTCAAAAAAGATAATCACATGCAATTTGCAGCAACATGGATGGCACTGGAAGGGATCATGCTCAGCGAAATAAGCCAGAAAGAAAAAGAAAAATACCGGATGGTCTCACTCATAGCAGGAATCTAGAAAACTTAAATAAGGGACCAGGAAAATGAATAACTATAAGAAAGTGAAAATCAAAATCAACAAAAAACTATGAACCAGAGACACTCTAAGGGGTGTGGGGGGCGGGAGGGGAGGGATTGGGGTCAAAATAAGGGGGTTGCAATTGTATGGGGAATAGAAAAATAAAATTTATTAAAAAAAATAAAAAAATTTAAATACAGTTTAATGATTAAAAAAAAAATACTGGTCAGAGAAGGCTGGAGAAATAAGCATCTCTGAGTCAGCTCTAATCAAGGGAGGAGGGGAATGGGAGGATTGGCTGTTTTCCTTCTCGCCTGTGTCGCCTCTTCCTGAGACACATCTCAGGCTAGACAGGATTTTGTGTGGTGCTTTTCTGTGGCAGAATGCTGTCTGGGCCTGGGAACAGACTTGGAATGCCCCAGAAAGTTGGAAGCTTCTGTGCTAGGCATTTATTTGCAATTCAGGGATTTCAGTCAAACTTTTTTTCTCTCTAGGTCTGTGAGAACAAGATTGATTTCTTTTTTTGAGAAGTGGGCCATGTTGATGGGTCTCAGAACATTTGGGTTTCTTTAAAGGTGGCAGGAAGGATTTGTAAATGGGCTGTAGAGCTAGCCTAACAGGGTTTGAAATGGGCCTTCCCACTGAGACATTGGGCACATTCATTACCTGAAGTCCAGTTTTCCTGTCTGTGAACGGTGCTAGGCTTTATTTTTTTTTTTTTAAGATTTTATTTATTTATGTATATAAGAGCTGGGGTACAGGCCAGACGTGTGGGGGTGAGAAGACTCACCAGAGACAGAGTGGGGAACAGAACAGGCAGATTGACCAAAGTACACTGTCGAGGGGAGCAGCAGGCAAGTCAGGAGAGGTCTGCTGTGCTATGTGGGTTGCTTCTTGGCCGGGAATAGAACTGGTGCTGCATAGGTTGTGGACAGCTTCATAGATTGCGTCTTAACCCCTTGCACCACCAGGGATACCCATCAGTGCTAGGCTTTAAGGATAGCTATGGCAGATACTGCATTTAACACCTAACCTGGCCTGATGAAACATCATAATTTTTAGTAAGTATTGTTTTTCTTGTTGTCTTCTATTCCTGTATTCCTTAGAGGTATTATATTTTGAATATTCACAGGTCTACTGTTGATTATCTCTTTGTAATCGATGTCATTAAACATTACAAATTTCTGTTTAGTGGGATAAGAGAGACTCACAGTATTTAAGATCCATCCCTCTGCCTTCCCCTTCAGCAATCATAATTCAAGAAAACAACATCTGTGACATCATTTGGTTTTTTTTTTCCCCTAGGGAGATATTTAAACTTTTTAAGAGGGCTGCTAATTGTACTAAATGAACCTCATAATTGATGCTTTTGTAAGACTTCTTTTTCTATTTAGACACATTGTATTTTTTAATTGGATGTAAGTAATTAATAATTCTCTGGATCTAGAACTTCCATCTTATCTCATATATGCTGTAGAACAGAACAGTGTCACTCACAAATCACTTAACCACTTGTAGATCTTGTAGATAGGAAAATTCTAGAGGTTTATTTATTTTTTTAAAGATTTATTTATACGAGAGCTGGCGTACAGACCAGAGTTGCTGGAGGGTGAGAGTGTTCACCAGAGTCAGAGCAGGGAGCAGAACAGGCAGACCGAGCAGTGGGCGCTTCAGGAGAGGTCTGTCACGCCATGTGGGAATCTCCCTGGCCAGCCGGGAATCGAACCTGCGCTGCAGAGGCTGCGGACAGCTTCTTAGCCCTGTGCTCAACCTGCTGCGCCACCGGGTGGCCCTAGAGGTTTATTTTTAAAATAATAATGTGGATTTAATTTCATGTACCAGACAAAGCACTGATTGATAACATCAGACATCTTGGTGTCTGTTGCTGAAGGTTTCAGCATGATATGATCTCTTCAAATACCCTTTACATGATGTTGAGTTATTTTAACAGGAGAAGATTGGCATCTGTATTTCGCATTCTTTAAATCCTGCCCTCCTCTCCCCCCTTGCCTTTCAGCATTAAACTGAAAAGAAGATGTCCCTGTATGACGACCTGGGGGTGGAGACCAGTGACTCCAAAACAGAGGGCTGGTCCAAAAATTTCAAGCTTCTGCAATCTCAGCTCCAGGTGAAGAAGGCAGCTCTCACTCAGGCAAAAGTAAGTTAAGCCCATACTGAAAGTAGAATTTTGCAGAGCAGTTACCTCATTAAGATTAGTTTGGTTTAGGTTAAACATTTGTAGTAAAACCCTGCTTTATGATTGGCCCACTGTACAATCAGATCACTTTATGATGAGTCCTTCATTTTAAAATACAAATCACTTTACAATTGAATATTCATATTATGATTGCATTCGACTTGAACCAGTTAGGTGGGGCATTTGAATTAGCTGTCAGCCTTTGAGCTAATCATGGCGTATTTATTGGTTTGGCAATCTTTTTTCACATGGAGCCATCTTTTTTTTTTTTTTTTTTTTTTAAAGAAAGTATGGGATAGGAATTTTTTTTTAGTCTTTATCATTTTGTACAAGTGATTATTGTTGAATTGTGTAAAAATACTGTGCTATATTATAACCATGGGTGCTAAAGTGTGTTTATTATACCTTTTCCAAATCAAGTTACTTATTACTAATTTAATGTTTCTAGTATCAATAAAAATGAAATTTCCTAAGTGTTTAAGTTGTTTTGTTGTATAAATCACAGTTTATATCAGCTTAGTTATATGCCAAAATGTTCCAATTATGCTGTCTTAGAATGAATTATGCAATATCAGGGTATTACTGGATTCATGTTAAGATACAATCACTATACAATCGCATCTGTTGCAGAGCATATTATCAATATATCGTTAAGTAGGGGTCCACTGTGTAGCAGAAGAGACTCTGGCTAGAAGGAATGAAAGACTTTATGGTTATTTTCCTTCCATTCATTCCTGCTACTAAAACGGTTTCTGGAAATTAAAATGAAAAAAAGCAGTGTTCTCAACTTCCAGCTAGATACTGATTTTCAAACTTCATTTATCTAAGACTGACTGAGAACTTGGTTTAAATGCTGCTTCTGGGCATTTTAGGGAGTATTCCTGCTTGTTTATTGCAGATCATTTGGGACAATATTGCTAGTAATTGCCAAGCTATGATAATGTGTATGCTTTGAGGGCTCATATTGGTTGTGAATGTGCCAGGTATATGGAGATAATTGTTTTTGTTCCTATGGTATACATGTTGGATTATTAGCAACACTTTTATTATAGCTATATATAAAATATTAAAAAGTAGTTGTCAATATTTGATATTAAAATTTAACTGTCAAATATTTTTAGGAATAAGGTGGTATTATGGATTGCTTATTTTTCTAAGGGTCCTTATATTTTAGAGTGCATCCCCAGTGGAGGCTGCATGTCTCTAAGTGGGGCAAATATTGGTCCGGGGGGGGGGGGGCATGTGAAAAAACCTTACTCTTTTTTTTTTTTTTTTTTTTTTTTTTTCCTAAAGATTGATTTATTTATGCATACAAGAACTGGGGTACAGACCAGAGCTTTGGGGGATGAGAGGATTCACCAGAAACAGAGCGGGGAACAGAACAGGCATATGTACTGAAATACACTACTGAGGGGAGCAGCGAGCGAGTCAGGAGAGGTCTCCTGTGCCATGTGGGTTGTTCCCTGGCTCGGAATGCAACTCGTGCTGCAGTGGCTGCTGACAGCTTCATAGGTTGCGTTTTTAACCCTTTGTGCCACCAGGGAGGCCCAAACCTTACTCTTTTTCTGTAAAAGTAACAGATACATATAAAGCACATAAACAGATATATGGTGTCTCTGTGGAATTAAAGTTACATGAGTGGGAAAAATGTATTAAGAGATTCTTTTGGGGTTGGAAGTAATCATGAAAAAAGAGGTTGTAGAAAAACTGCTATAGATAGGTGCAGAAATATTTACTGATAAAATAATTTTATTTCTAGGGTTTACTTTAAAATAATCCAGTCTGGTTTGGGGGAGGTAGGGAAGTACATGAAACAGATTGGCCATAAGTTTTACAGTTGTTGAGACTGGAGATCAGAAATTCAGTAATCCTTAATTTTATGTTTAAAATTTTCCATAATAGTTTTTTTTACAGTTCAGATTCTTTGTCCTTTGTACTTTACTACATCATCAGAAACTTAGAAGCACATTTGATTGCTTAGTCAGTAGAAGGTCTTTAGGATTAGGATATCTGCAGATGGAACAATACTGTCTTAAAACTTATATTTGCTCTGTCAGTTCTTTTGATTGGGATTCTATCTTTTTTAAATTTATCAATAGCAGATTTAAATTTTTTGATGTCAGTATTTCTTTTTAAAGAGAATTTTTTCTTTTTAAAAAAGCATTCATCCCACATGAAAGATTAACAAAACAAGTCTTCTTTAAATTTTGCTTTTTAAAACTGGATTATTTTGATCTTTGTGAGTTTCATGTAACTTTTGCTTTGCATATAAGGTGCATAAATTAGGTTTTGTAATTTACCAGTAGTTTTTTCATGTATTTTTCTCTTAAATGCCTAATCTCTCATAAAATGACTTGTTCAAAGCAACAGTTCTCATACTTAACTCAGTTAGTGGACAATGTTAATTCAATGGTATACAATAAAAATAGAAAGTCAGAAGTCAAAATATCCCAGAAACAGGATTACATCAAACTGAAAAGCTTCTGTACAGCCAAAGAGACATTAACCAAAACAGAAGAGACACCCCACTGATTGGGAAAAAATCTTTGCACTCCAGTCAATTGATAAGGGACTGATCACACAGCTTTACAAAGAACTCACACGGCTCAACAAAAACAAAATAAACAAGCCAGTCAAGAAATGGGCAGAAGACCTTAAAAGACATTTCTCCAAAGAGGAAATGCAAATGGCCAACAGGCATATGAAAAAATGTTCAGTATCCTTTATAATCAGGGAAATGCAAATCAAAACCACACTGAGATACCACCTTACACCAGTGAGAATGACACATATCAAAACAACAAGCATCAATGTTGGCGAGGATGTGGTGAAAAAGGAACTCTCCTACATTGCTGATGGGAGTGCAAACTCATCCAACCACCATGGAAAGCTGTCTGGAGGTTCCTCAGTCTAGTAAAAATGGAGCTACCATATGACCCGGCAATTCCACTCCTAGGGATCTATCCAACGGACACAAAAACATTGATTCAGAAGAACACCTGTACCCCTATGTTCATTGCAGCACTATTTACAATAGGTAAAACCTGGAAACAACCCAAATGCCCCAAAAATAGATGACTGGATCAAGAAGATGTGATATATATACACAGTGGAATATTAATCAGCAATCAAAAAAGATAGACTCATGCGATTCACAGCAACATGGATGGAGCTAGAAGGAATTATGCTCAGTGAAATAAGCCAGAAGGAAAAAGAAAAATATCGATGGTTTCACTTACAACAGGAATATAGGGGAACCAAATAAGACATCAGTGTAAAAAAAATAACAGTACAAAACACAACAAAGCAAGAACAGACAATTATAAATCAGAGACATGCTGCAGAAGAGGAGGGAGAGGGATGAGAGGGAGGGAGGGAGGGGGAGCATAGAGGACTGTGGTGATGGTGCATGAGTGCCTTGGGGAAGGAAATTCTATGAGGACTCAATCTCAGGGGGTGGGGGGAAGCAAATATTGTTTAAAAATAAAAGAAAATAAATGAAAAAAAAGAAGAAAAAAATCCCAATTTACAATTGTTTGGGATTCTCCCTTACTCGTAGTTTAAAAATCATTATCTCCATGGATTACTTGCAGCCAATTTCTAACTATTAAATAATTTGTTTGTTTCTGCCCAGTGTGCTCCTGTCTGTTTTCTTTTTGGCCCGTGCACATTTATATTGGTGGGTTAAAAGCAGCTCATACAAAATACAATTAAGAAAGTAGATTTTTCCAAAAATAAATAAATTAAAAAATCAAATATAGATCACCTGTTGATTTTTCTCCACAATTATTATATTCACATGAAAAGTAGAGTTAGATGTTGAGCAAGGAATTCTGGGTTTAGCTATAATCTAGACTCAGACATCTTCAATATATGCTTCAGTCTTTTTTATTTATCTTTGTTTTACTCACATTAGTTTCAGCTACTAGCAAATCTCTTGAGATTTTGAAGATTTCTTTAATTGATTGAATAATTACTTGAAATTATTTCTGTTAACTTTCTAACATGTGTTTAGATTGCAATGTAGGATTAGTGCAGTAAATCCTCAGTTAACATTGTCAGTAGGTTCTTGGATATATGACTTTAAACAAGATGACCTAACAAAAGTAGGTGGTTAAATAAGATCATTTTGAGAATGTGGGCTGGTATTGTTTATGTTCTCATCAGCATAATGAAATGATTTGAGTGAAACATTATTATTCAAGTACATGTGGTATTATGATTTTTCAAGGGAAGTAAAGATATATAGATGCCTTTAGGCTATTTAATTACTCAGAGCACTAAGTTCACCTAACCAAATCTGTAGAGGTATTTGATAGAGAAAAGTTTACCAATAACTGAAGAAAGAGTTACAGTTTCATTTTTACCTCTTTTAAAAATGATTATTGAATTTCAAAAAGTAATTGAAAATATTGTTTTGAAAATTTCCCCTTTGCCATTGCTTTGTAAACCTTTATATTAGCTATATGAGTTGTATATTTGATGATTATATTTTGTTTGCTTAAATTTATTAGCTGTTAAATTTAGTGGCAGTGTTGACTAATTTTGAGTTTTTTGTAGTGGTAACAATGAAAATTTATAAGACTGTAAATTGCAAGAGGGAGAAATTAAGCCTGTGCAACAGAAGTTCTAACAGTCACCACCACACCCATGTAACCCAGTTTAGCATTATTAGACAGCTTGACTTATGTGCCTGCTGGGAAAATGCAGGATAAGCACACCACCTCACTCTTACCAAAAAAGCATCACCCTAATGTAATCTAGCCTTTAATTTAGTTTACAGGAATTACAGGGCGTGGAGGAGTAAGTAAGTGAAACTAGACCACCAGGAAGTTATCAGACAGATGGAGAATATGCAGCATTTTATCAAAGTGCCTGAGGAAAAAAGGAAATGATAGTGGTGATGGTGAGGAAAGGTGACTGTTCTAAATCAAGTGATTTAAAAACTAAAGGCATTGCAGGAACTTTTGTAGCCTCCTGGCCTCCTCTTCCCTTTTCTGCCTCCCCCCCCCAAAAAAAAAAAAACCGCTAAACAACTCTTCAAATGGCATTTTGGGGATAGCTTGGAAAATCTGAATATGAATTGGGTAAGAAATGATACAGGGGAATTGCTGATTTTATTAGGTATGGTAATAGTATTGTGTTTCTATAAGAGAATGTCTGAAGTTTTAGGAGATTAAGGATAAAGTTTTGTGGTATTTCCAACTTTCAAATGGTTCAAAAAATATAGGTGGTGGGTAAACCATCATAGTAAATTTCACAATGTTTGATGATAGAAGATCATAGTTTCCTCTTAAAAATTGTTTTTTATAGGGTCATTATTAAAGGAGTAGGTGAATTTTATATCCTAATGGAAGAAAAAATGCCTAATCCATAAATATCTTTTCCCCAGGATATAAAAATATACCTATTACTTGTGAAAGATTCAAGTCAAAGTAACATACCACAGTTTGTTCTTCTGTGGTCAAGGGAAGAGTCTTAGTTATTTCACATGAAAAAATTTTAAAAAATAACCAAGTTTATTGTAAACCTTTTTAAAAATGGAGGAAATTTGTGGGTTTTTTTTTTTTTTTTAAGCTAAAAATACTAGTGTGTAGTTATGTTATAGGACAGGGAGAGGGGCAGCCCAAACCCCCGCAAACCTGCCTATTCTACATGGGTTCTGCCATCCGCCGCATCAACACAAAACATAGGAGACTTTAATGGGAAGGAACTTTAATAAAACTAGGAAACAATACAGGTAAGGCAAAGAGTCTAGTTTCTAAATGAAGCATCCAGAGTTACCCGTCCCCTCGTGGGTAAAAGTCCATCCATATGGGATTGGCCCAGAACAAGGCCCCAAAGCCTGCTACAAGTCTAAGGCATCTTCCAGTGGGGACCCACAGAAAAGGGTCACAAACGGAAGGAAAAGAGCAAAATCAACATCAAGATAAAAGCTGCCATTGTCACCTCCCCATGGGTCTCACCCACATCTGTGTCACCCAGTCCACGACCAAAAGACAAGCGCAGTTTCTTTACCTGTCTCTAGGCTCCATGCGCCTCCTCCAGGTCTCCTTGCTCCATCCTGCTTCCTTCCTCAGTCTCTTCTCCAGCTTCTCCTCTTCCTGCTCAGCTCCACCCTCCCTTGGGTGGGGCAGGGAACCTGGAACTTCCCCCTTTCCTGGGGACCACCCTGTTACAGTTATGGTAATAATAGGAACAAAAAGCTGTTGAAAGTTACCATTTTCTCATAATCAGAAGGGTTTGTTATAGTATCTACAAAGCAGACACCTTTGTTGCAAGCAGTATAAATTTTAATCTGAGACTTGGTATGCTTTTCTTGTTTTCTAATGATTTTAGAGCCAGAGGACAAAACAAAGTACAGTCCTTGCCCCCGTAATCGACCTGAAGAGAGGCGGCTCTTCAGATGACCGGCAGATTGTGGACACCCCGCCACATGTAGCAGCTGGCCTCAAGGTGAGCCCCACCCAGTCCTCTGTAGGCTATTCTGCTTTCTTATTTGAAATGTGTTGTCCCTTTGAACATACACACTCTCCTCAATGGCTGTGGCAATCTAGACAATACCATTTTCAATTTAATTTTCCCTTTTGTTTTATCACGTTTAAACATTCATTTAAAATAGTTCATATAGAAAGAACAGAAACTGGCACTATGCCAAATGAAAAACAAATGTTCTTTTGTACCCTTCACATTAGAAACTTTATAATATCTTTATATTCTGTGTCTCCTCTATATTCTATTCACTAACCTGCTTTTCTCACTTAATATATTGTGCCTGTCTGTGTCGCAAAATATAGAACCTCCTGATTGTGTTAATGATTTCAGTGTTCCCTTGTATGATTATACTCTATTTAATTCACTTAATGCTGGATATGAGTAATTTCTAATTTTTGCTCTCATAAAAAATGCTAGCACTTGCTGTTTTAGTTGGAATAAAATTGAAAGGGGATTAAAAAAAATCTAACCTTTAACTTTTATGGTCCCAGTGATTTTACCTGTATTTAGAAATAAATAGCGCATGGTAACTCTGAATAGGCGAGAAAAAGATCTGGAGATCTTCCAGATGTCAAGATCTGGAAAAGAATAACAAAAAATCATAGTTAAAACTATACTTAAAGAGAGACAAATGAATTTAACTTGATCTAGTGTTAAAATTATACCTGTCTTTATGTTTTTGCTTCTGCAGTTGGCATTCACATAAATAGTGTGACCACAGTAGTATAAGCAGCAGCACATATGTGCATTGTTTGGATATAGGGCTAGGTCTGAGGGTTTCCAGTGGAAGAGCTGCTGTCCCTGTAGATTTGGGGTGTGTCACTCTCCCAGTTCACAGATGTTTTTGCCAACCTGGAAGTACTCCAGAACCCCTTGCTATTGGGATTTTTAAGGAGCCTCCCTCACATAGACTTGGTCTAATATTAACTCTTATTTCTAGCCCCTCTCCCTTCTCTAGAGAAGTGGGGAGCAGTAAGAACTGAAAAAGCCTTACTCATCACTTTTTTCCCTGATGACCAGTCCCTATCCATGGTCCATCTAGGAACACACCCAGAGTCCTCTCAAGAGAATGAAAGATGCTCTTAGTGCTCTTATCATTTAGGAAGTCACAAGAGTTTTAGGAAGCTTCTGGCAGGGTCAAAGATAAATATTAGAACAAAGATGGGCCTAATGTTCCTAGGCTTTTAGGAGCTCTGGGCCATGAACCAGGAACAGAGACTTATTATCTCATAACTAAGAAAACAAAGGGTGGAGATGTAGGAAAGTTAGATCATGCAGTGGATGAGGGCTTATCAGAACCACGTACAGATGGACAGCCAACCTAATTTGCTCTTATCTTCCAATAGGTTGTGCTCTGTCTCCTTTTGTTTTTCTTTCTTTGTTTAGGCTATCTCTTGTCTGTCAGAGTTGAAAACTACGTGAAGGTACTAGCATCCAGCTTTGCCATATTTAAAGGCCTAAAATGCAGCCTGCTGGGAAGGGCTGTGTGTAAACAGGAGGGGAGTAGGCAGAGGAATGGTGTCTGCAACACCCCTTTTAACCTTTGCATTCTTTGACCTTAATTCTGTGAATAGAATTCTAAGGCATGAGGATAACATTTATGTTGACTTTTTTGCCTTCCCCAGGATCCTGTTCCCAGTGGGTTTTCTGCAGGAGAAGTTTTGATTCCCTTAGCTGATGAATATGATCCTATGTTTCCTAATGATTATGAGAAAGTAGTAAAGCGCCAAAGAGAGGAACGACAGAGACAGCGGGAGCTGGAAAGACAAAAAGAAATAGAAGAGAGAGAGAAGTATATCTTCATTTGGATTTGGGGATATGTTATGTTTGAAACACTTATTAGGATATTAATAAATCAACTGTAGTGTTATCTGTAAGACTGAAGTTAGTTGTCATGGTTGATCTGAACAATTATCAGAACAATGCAAGTTGTTTTTTAAATTGTAATTAGTTATATTTCCAGTATGGACATAAACGCCCGATAATATTTCATGTGTGATTACAGAAAACCTGAAATTTACATTTTGGATAAAGTGTTAGAAAAAGTCACTTAGGTACCTAATATTAAATAATATTGGTAATTTGGTTTTTTCCTCCTCATGCCATGTCTGTATTTGAATTATAATTATTTAAATACTTAAAATGTTACTCTTTACTGGTTTTGAGTCAGATAAATTTGAAAATTTATATGTATTATTTGTTTTCCAGAAGTATAGCTAACAAGCATTTATTTGACTATTTTAAGTATTTAATAGTTATATAAAATAATTTACTATTTCTCACTTACTGAATCATTTCATGAACTCAAAGCGCATTCTAAAGAATGGAAATTATTTTGCTGTTACTTATGTTGATATGTTTTAAAGTTGAAAAAGATAAATAATTAGGAGAACTTTTTCCTTGCTACTTATACTCACGTACATATTAAATTTGCTCATTTTACCTTCTGGATTTTTCTCACTTCTCATATTTTGTTATTTTAGACTTTTAACAGTTGTTTGTATCCTCTTCCCCCAAATCAGTTTATTACAAAGGGAAACAATTTAGATATTTCTTAACCAAGGAAAGTCAAGGTATCCTTGGTATCACATCTCTAAATTGGTTTGCCATGAATAGTTGGTGTCTCTGTTATTACAGGAGGCGTAAAGACAGACATGAAGCTAGCGGGTTTTCAAGGCGACCAGATCCAGATTCTGATGAAGATGAAGATTATGAACGAGAGAGGAGAAAAAGAAGTAAGATGTGAATATAAATCTTATGTTGTTCAAACGATGCAATTCCACTATTTGCAATTTATATTTAATTTGATAAATAATTCTGTTGATACTGATTTGAATAATTTTTTTCTCGGGAATGCCAGCAATGCATATGTGTCTGGCAGTTTTAATTTACATTGTGCTTCCACATGTATTGTTTTCTGAGCTTCTTAACTACTTTCTCACATTTATTTATTATATACTTTGACACCTTAAAATATATACACCCACTTTTCTAGACTTGCAGCTCAGTCACTTGTTCTCTGTATTCAGCTGCATTTTTGTTAAGCTTTGAATGAGAGTCAAGGCACTCTTTTCCTGAACACTTGTCACTGACATGTCTGAATTTTAGGTAATCACATAACTTCCCTGGATATTGGTTTCTTTCATTGTCATACGGAGAATGGGGAGACAAGAATTTGAATTAGGTACTTCGTAAGGCCCCTTCCAACTTTAAAATGTTGTGAGCAGAATTATAATCTAGTGATCACTAGATAGATAAGCAGCATTCGTTTTTGAGTGAAGGGAATACTTATTTTAGCTTTGTGTTTTGATTGCTGATGCATCCTTGATTTAGTTGACCGATTTGGTTGACAGATTGAGATTTTTGAATGAGAAATTTAAATATTCTACTTGTCTGTTCAATCCAGGCACTGTTCTAAGCACTTTCATAGATTATCTCCTTTACACCTCACAATAACTTGAGATGATCTGCGATTATCCCCATTTTCAGGGTGAGAAATCTGAGACATGGGATGCAAGCTTTATATGTGACCATGATGTTGCCTGACGACAAGAATACCTTCTGAGAAATGGGTCCTTAGGCCATTTTATTGTTAAAACAATAATATAGCGTGTGTTACACAACGGTATGACCTCAACTATATATAGAGACTACCATCATATTTGTGGTCCATCTGAAATATTAGGTGGCACATGACTATACACTGCATTTGTCCTATCCCAAATCTTGATTTGCCTGAAAATTTTGTAATAACATGGTGGTCTTTAACCTGAGATGTGTGAATGGTGTTTTGAAGCTGGAGTCTATTTCTACTTACATGACCTCTGTTTTATGACTGGCCGTTTGGCAAGCCTGATCTTCCCCAAGTGTACAACCAAGACTGACTGGGGTTTAATTTAAATTTTAAAATCCTAATTGAGCTGGAAAGGAGTAAGCAAGACTACAATAATTTAAAATTCTTTATCTTTAAACACAAATCTGAATTAAATATCATTTTGGATACCTACTATAGTATACTGAGCACTGTCAGGCACTGCGTTTTTTCTAATTAATAGGAGAATTAACATTTACCAAGTGCACTCTGTGTGTCAGGCTTAATGTTGAACATTTCATACCCATCATATTGTTAATCAACACGTTTTTTTATTAACTTGTTTTAGAATCCAGTATATCGGTTGAGTATTTGTTGGTCTCGTCTTTCCAGCTTATAGATCAGCTGCCCTTATTGTAAAAAGGTCTATTCTAAGTACATTTACTTTTTTTCTGAATATTAGCAGGAGTTATCTAATCTAATAGAAAATTTGTGACATTATATCCATTATGTGTACTGCTGTTAACAGATTGGTGTTTCTATTTTAGCCTGATTCGCAGCACGTTTCCAGTAATCACCTTGAATTTTTTATACTGACCTCATTGAAGCTAATCTCACTTTTCAGAATGAATAATCACTTAGTGGCAAGGTTAAAATATAATCGGAGGTATAGTAAAGGAAATACAGGAAGTTTTTAGTCAGTTTATTTCTCCTTAAGTGTGTCTAGTCCAGGCCTGTTAATAACAATGCAAATGCTGTATCTTCAGAGGAATTTAATTTGTGAAGCATTTCATGCTGATGTACTGTGCTTTTATAATCAATTTTTTTGAAATTTACATTTTATTGTTTTTTGGATTGTTTCACTGATGATTAAGTTATAATGCCTGTGTTAGGGCTTATACCTAATGAAAAATTCCTACATAAGGAATCTGTAGTTGTCAGCAAATAAAATCTATTTTGGTTCATTTGTATACACCATTCTGTGTCCCGGAAATATGAGGAGTGTTGATAACATAAAACAGATTCTCCAGGACCCAGAAGTACCAAATAGGTGCTTAGGTCTAGTTGCTTGCACTCTAAGAAGGAGGAATGTCTTGTTGGGGAAAGCTTTGACATCACAAGTAGCTGGATTTTAGTCTGTCTCTTCCAGTTGACTCTCCTCTGCTCATTTTATCACCTGGAAAATGTTTTTTTAAGTCTAAATGAGGTAATGCTTATGATAATGCCCATGTGTCACATGTTCTCAGTGAGCAGTTATGTTACTGTTTTTCAAGTAACTGATAGTTCTCTGAGTTGCCACCTTTTGTCTTAAAATTAATTTATTAATATCCTCTGGGATTCTTGAATACCTGCTATGAAAAAAAAATTTATCTGGGATTTGCCAATTTTTTAAATTTTTTTTTTTTTTTTTTTTTTTTTTTTAAAGATTTATTTATTTATTTATACAAACACTGAGTAGAGTCAGAAGCGCGGGAGGGTGAGAGAATTCACCAGAGCCAGAGGGGAGGGCAGAGCAGGCAGACTGACAAAGTACACTGCTGAGGGGAGCAGCGGGCATGGCAGGAGAGGTCTGCGCGCCATGTGGGACCCTCCTCACCTGGGGGCTGGGGATCAAACCGGTGCTGCAGAGGCTGCGGGCAGCTTTGAAACCCAGCACTCAACCGCTGCGCCACCAGGGGAGGCCCAATTTTTTAAATTTCTAATCATAAATTCAGGTAGTGAATTCCTTAGATGTTAGCAGGAAGAAGGAGCAGCTTTTTTCCTTTCTCTTACTTTCTTGGGGTGGGGGCAGGTATGATATGACAGATGGCATGGTCCTTGTGTGTCTAGGATCTGAAATGTTTTCCCTTCTTTAATCAATGGAATTTATGTTTTTTGCAGGTATGGGCGGAGCTGCCATCGCACCTCCAACTTCTCTTGTAGAGAAAGACAAAGAGTGTACGTAGACCTGTTTCTTCCCTTTTTTTATTCTGGTACAATCTTTAACACAGTCGTGGGGAGTATTAGCTTGTAACGGGCAGATTTTCTGAGTGTAAAGGGAAATGTCCTGAAAATCCCTCTTCAGGCTCTTGGGGGAACTTTTAAGGTTCTCAGGACTGTCACTCCCTTCCATCCCTTATACTTGAGTTTTTATGCCAGACTCTGAGTCTTGGATTTTTGTACAGTAAGTAATAAAAGTTTCTTAATTTTTTAAAGGTAATTTTTCATCTCTCCAACATTTTGTATTTGAAGTTCATTTAAAACAAATAGTGGCTCAGTTGGTAATTTTTAGTATTCCGTGGTGTGGAGGCAGTTAAATTCATGACCTTCCACCAGGTGGCAGTACCTTCCTTGATTTAAATTTTTTGCCATTAGTGTCTTATCACACATAATGTCTACACTTACATTGCCAAAGCAAGGCCACCTAGTAATCTATTCTAGAATTTTGGGGTTGGAATTAGATTTTGATATGCCATCTAGGTCATTTTCCTATCTTCTGGGTTGGACCATTTCTAACTATCCAAAAGTATTCTGTAGTACTTTTTGTAGTGTTTAATGCTGTTTAATTAAAGAAGGTCGTTCAAAAAATACTAAGTACCTATTTTGTGACAACACTGGATAAATCATAAATTCCAGCTGAAACAGTTTGTGGGAGTGGGCCCTGAGCATCTGGATCTTCATGAAGAATCTTACTGACTTTAATATGAGCTGTAGTCAGAAATCAACTGCTCTGGTATGTGGTCTCTAACCTCGAGGACCTACAGAGGCTTTTGGCTCGTGAGATGGTAAACTTAAGAGTCTTGTGTCAAGTACACAGATATAAGGGAATCAAAAATGTTTGATTAGAACATACAGAAAATCTTAGGAATTCATGAAAATCTTAGTCATTTAAACTATCAAGGGGATATTTTAGTAAGATGTAAGAAAGGACATGTGAGGAAGTATAAACAGCAGGAGCAAAGCTAGAATTAGAAAAGTAGTTTTCTACGTTTGTTATTTTTAAAGTCATTTAAAGGTTGTAAAGATAGATTTTGTTTTTCCCCTTGTAGTAAGTCAAAAATGTCACTTAAATTATTCAAGATCACAGATTTGTATAAAAGCAGTTCAGAATGTTTTTTTGTGGTAATTTGGTTAAACCTGTTTTATTTTTATTCAACAGTACCCCGAGATTTTCCTTATGAAGAGGATTCAAGACCTCGTTCACAGTCTTCCAAAGCTGCTATCCCTCCCCCTGTATATGAGGAACCAGACAGACCCAGATCTCCCACCGGGCCGGGCAACTCCTTCCTTGCCAACATGGGGTAAGGGTTCCCAGTGCTCTTACCTCACAAGTATGAGAAGGACAAAGATTTGCCAGTCCTTTCAGTGGATGCAACTTGTTTGAAAATGAGGTTATTTCCAACTTTATAGGGAGACACTGATGTGTTCAGTCACACAATGTCCTTCACGAAGTCAGTGCTTCAGTCACGAGGAGGGTGTTCAAGCTTGATGTTTTCTACAAAACATAAAACCTACTGATACAAGTTTTAAAAGATTTAAATGCTTAATACCATATTCTTTAACAGTTTCTGACAGTTCTTTACATTTCTGCAAATACAGTAGCTCATGTGTATTAGAGCTGACTTAAGCTGCTTCCAAAGGGTGCATGGCATTTTTTCCTTCGAGATAAAACAGTCCTTAGCTTTAAGGTCATGGTTCTATTCCTTTAGCCTGAAAACTCTTAATCATTGTGACTCTAATTAGGAACTGGCTTGCTGGCATATAAAAATCAGTTTTAAGGTTGACTGGCAGGTGGGAATAGTGGATTTTTTTAAAACCCAAACTGGATCTGGCTTGCATTTTGGTTAAGAGAATGCTTCATGTTTACTGTCTCCCTCTGATGCTGCATGAGGCTGTCAAAGGCAGCAGCATTTCTTGGAGGTCTTTGTGATGTGGCTTTTAAAAGAAATGCCAAGAGTATAGTAATCACACTGATCTGCCCTCACGTGTGTGCATGCACTTTGGTTTTTGAGCTCTTGGAGAGGTGCTGGGGTTTATGCAGTAAAAGAGGATTTTGAGTTTCTGACCTTGGTATCAGTCTTTTAGACCTGCACTGTTCTCTGTGCTAGCTACTAGCCACAGGTAGTTATTAAATTAATTTAAAATGAATACAATTTAAGATGTAGTTTCTCAGTCATACTAATCTCAAATACTTAATTATAGAGGGCTAACAGCTACCATATTGGGCAGGGCAGAAAGAACATTTTGATCATCACATTTCAATCATCTGCCCAAGATAATTGCTAGAGGGTAGACAGACAAGCTTTTTTTCCCTTGTCAATGATAAAAATTGATGTTTTACTAAATCTCCATTTAAACAGGAATTTAAAGTTTTGTTGTTCGAGCCTTATGTAGCAGTGGTTGCTGAGGCCACTCTTGAGACTTGTGAGCACTCTGCAGTTTGAAAGCTATCATGGTATTAGAAAAGGCATTGGACTAAGAACCAAGAGTTATGGGTTCTAGTTTCAATTCCACCATTACCACATACAGAAATAATTTAAAAATATGCTGTTTTCCTGTGGCTAGTCCATTTTAGGCTAACCAGCTAATCTGGGCTTCAGTTTCTTATATCCCTGTCTATAAAGTAGATGACCTTTAGCAGTTCATTCATTTATAAAATCTTTCTTTGAAAACTGTTGTACTATTTAGAGGAAATGCAGTTATTTTCATTATATGAAACATTTTTTTTTTTTAACAGACATACTAAACTGTGGTTGTAAGCAATATAGCATTGCAGATACTGGAACACAAAAGTCCAGTGTTTTCCAACAGGGATACTTGGGACATTTCATTATTCCCTAATATCAAAGGTAGCATCAGCATATCCAGGATTTCTTACTGTAGGTTTTTCTATTTCTTTCATTCTGATCACCCCCCATAACTTATTTCTGTGTCATTAGGCTAAACGTTAATTATATCTGACTTCGTTGAAACCCTTGTGGAATTTACACTCTATCCAGTAGGAGAGTGTTGTGATGTAAAACTCAGTTTATGCCCTTGCTGATAACTTCAAGTTCAAGGGATCTTTCTTTACTCTTCCCAGTGGCACGGTTGCACATAAAATCATGCAGAAGTACGGCTTCCGGGAAGGCCAGGGTCTTGGGAAGCATGAGCAAGGATTGAGCACGGCGTTATCAGTGGAAAAGACAAGTAAGAGAGGAGGCAAGATTATAGTGGGCGATGCCACGGAGAAAGGTGGGTCTCCCCCACGAGCAGGGTTTCCAGGTATCATTGTATTTTTTAATTTTCTTATTTATTGATTGCTTTATGTATGAAATGTAATGCCTTTTGCACTTTATTTTTGATGGTGCATAGTTGGTGTTTTGTTTTTATGGTGAGAGCATGTTGGAATGAGTTCTGTGATGAGAGCATGTGGGAATGAGTCAAATGTATCTTAGCATTTTATGAGGAGACTAGTTCATTTTGAGTTACCTTAGCTTAACCCTTTTCCAAAGAAAGAACGCTTTCCTGGCAGCTGTGTCAACACAGCTTTAGAAAGCAGCTGTCCTGACAGGCTAGTACCAAAAACCAGTAATTGCCCTGATTTGTTGGAGTTTCTGGAGTTACTCAATGGCTGGCTAATTAACTGCTTATTACACTGGATAGTGACTTTGGCCACTGCTCAAACCAAGGCACTCACCTTTACCAGTTGTGATCAGTATACTCTGTCAACCCTTTAGCAAAAAGGGAACTAAGCAAAAATTGCAGGTAATCATGAAAGCAAAACCTTCCAGAAATTTGTGGTAAAAACTACCACAGCAAAGCAGATGCTTTCATCAGAGATAAGCCTACAGTTTTTCTCATAGAGTAATTGACTAGATGCTTAAAAATGACCCTAAGTTGCAAATACTTGAACAATTTGGAGGTTAGGGGCACCAACCCCTGTGCAATCTGAAAATATATGTATAACTTTTGACTCTGAAAAACTTTACAAATGACCTGCTATTAATTGGAAGCCTTATCAACAACATAAACGTGTGATTAACACATATTTTATATGTTATGTGTTCTCTTTGCTGTATCTTACCATGAAATAAGCTAGAGAAAAGACTGTTACTTAAAACAATCGTAAGGGTTACTCAAAATAATGAAACAATAAGGAAGAGAATTTATTTGCAATATTTTACTGTATTTTAACTATACTGTAAGTTTACATTCTGTGTACAAGATGCACCATCTGTACACAGAAGGCATCTATCAATGCCTTCATCAGTATTGTCATATGACACAAACCACTGTATGATAGTGTATCTATTACTAACACTGGATATCAAAAATGAAAAGATAATGTGAAAAGGAAGTTCATATTTATTAACAGTTTTAACCATTCATGCAGAAATGAAGTAGCAGAAATGTGATTACTTTGTGGTAGCCTCCTATTAATTGCTAAGATTGCTTAATCTGAGAAACCTCGCTTGTACACTGAAATTTCTGTGGCCTGAATGGTAGTATAGTCATTAGATTTGTGTATACTTTATGTTAATAAATGGTCAAAGAGATTATTATCTACATATGCATTTGTGACCAGGCCAACTTAATTTTTTCAGTATTTCTAGACCATGCAGTGTGTGAGCTTTTTAAATTGTGCCAAATCTCAAAAAATTTTTCAACTATTTAAAATCCTCATTTACGTGGATTCATTCAGTTCAAGGCCATGCGATTCAAGAATCAGCTGTAGTAGGGATTGTTACTGAAATTGTTGTAGCTTAGACTCAAGCTCCTTTTCCGTGCTCTAACACATCTACAACTGATGATGTATTTTCCTGCAGATGCATCCAAGAAGTCAGATTCAAATCCATTAACTGAAATACTTAAGTGTCCTACTAAAGTGGTCCTACTAAGGGTAAGAAACAGAAGGAAGAAACCTATCTCCCTATTTGATTTTATTTTCCAGGTGACATTGATTTACAACAGTGTATAAGTTTCAGGTTTCAGCTTCTCACCTTGACATCTGTATATACCACACCATACCTGTCACCAGAGGTTTAGTTTTCATCCACCACCATCTAGTTGAATCCCTCTGCTGGTTCAACCCACTTCCACCCTTTTTGCCCTCTGGTAGCTACCATTCTGTAGTCCTTATCTAATGACCTTATGTTGTTGTTTGTTTGCTTTGATTCTTTATCTTCCACATACAAGTGAAATCATGTGGAATTTGTCTTTCTCTATTTCACTTGGCATAATTGCTTCAGGTTCCATCCTTGTTACTGCAAATGGCAGAATTTCATTCTTTTTATAGCTGAGTAATAGTGCTTTTTATACATGCTACATCTATATCCATTTTCTGTCCATGGGCATTTAGATTGTTTCCTTGCAGTTGTGAGTAAACAGAGTTGTATGTATTTTTTCAAATTAGTGGTCTTTGTATTCTTTGGATAAATGCTGGGAGTTGCTGGACCATGTAGTAGATCTAGTTTCCAATTTTTTGAGGAACCTCCATATTGATTTCCATAGTGACTGCACCAAGTTACATTCCCACCAACATTGTATAAGGGTTTCCTTTTCTTCACATCCTTCCCAACACTTGCTGCTTTCTTATTTTTTTGATAATAACCATTCTAACAGGTGTGAGATGATAGTTCAGGTGACTTTGGTTTGCAATTTCCTAATGAAAAGCAACAAAATATCTTTTCATGTCTGTTATCATATTGTCTCTGAGGAAATGGCTATTTAGATCCTCTGCTCATTTTTGAGTGGGCTTCTTGTTACTCAGTTGTATGAGTTGTTTCATTATTTTGGATATTAACCCCTTGTGTCTGATATATGATTTGCAGATGTCTCCCATTCACTGGGTTGCCTTTTTGTCTTTGAACAATGATTTTTTTCACTGTGTGGAAATTTTTTAGTTTGGTATAGTCCCATTTATTTCAGTTGCTTTTGTTTGCTGGGCCATTGGAGAGAAATCCGCAGGCTAATGTCAAAGAGCTAATTACCTGTTTCCTTCCAGATATTTTTTGGTTTCAAGTTTTATATTCAAATCTTTAATTCATTTTGAATTAATTTTCGTGTATGGTGTGAGGTAGTGTCTCCTCTCATTCTTCTGCAAGTAGTTGCCCATTTTTCTCAACACCGTCTATTAAATAGACTTTTTTCACTCTATTGTCTTGGCTTTTTGTCATAAATTAGCTGTCCTTATATATTTAAGTTTATTTCTGAACTCTGTTTTATTGATTGGTGTGTCTGTCTTAATTCCAGTACTATATTGTTTTGTTTACAAAACAAAAAGACAGTAAACAGTTATCCTGTTTACTGAGAGTATCCTACCTCCATTTCTCCGCCCTTCCCCCAGGATTGTTTTGATTATTGAAGGTTTTTTTGTAGTTAAAGTTTTGCTACTAAACACAGAACTTAAGAGTACAGTGAGTAATTAAAATATTTGAAATTACCAGAAGTTCAGCTTAATTTACACACTTTAACACTTGATCCTTTTAACTGCAAAACTTTTAGCTACTTTTAGCTACTGTGGAGATATGAAAATTTTCATTGTATCACCTGTGTTTGAGAACATTTGCCATCATGAAGCAAAGTAATTTCTGTATTTATACTTGATACTTGAATTTATTTATTTTTGTTTTTAGAACATGGTTGGTGCAGGAGAGGTAGATGAAGACTTGGAAGTTGAAACCAAGGAAGAATGTGAAAAATATGGCAAAGTTGGAAAATGTGTGATATTTGAAGTAAGAGGGTTTTCTTTTAATGTTTGTAACCCAAGTTATAATTAACAGATTATGGACCATTTCCTACAAATAGAGACAGGGTGCTGTAAGTTACATATTGTCTTATTGCAGAAGATGACACACGTTGGGTAGTTGTACTTTTATTACTCATTTAAAACAATTTTGAACTTAAAGGCAATGCTTCATATTTTGTTTGGTGACATAAAAATGTTTCATTTTATGATTAAGGTTTAATTTGGTGATCAAAAACATTGATTTATAGAGTGCTTAATACCTTTGGCTTAACCATACCTCGGGCTTCATTCATTTGGCAAGTGGATATTTAATGCCTCCCATGTACTCAATATAGTGTATAGAGAGCACTGGAGATACAGAAATGTCTGTTCTCGGTGAAATTCAGTTGAAGAGAACAAAAAAAGCTTAACATTAAAAATAGAGGATATTCAGTTGCTAGACTGAGTAGTATTGGCTTTTAAGTATAGGGTTTAAGAAAAGATTTAGATCAAATAAGCCAGTAAGAAAAAGAAAAATACCAGTGATGGTCTCACTCATAGCAGGAATCTAGAAAACTTAAATAAAGGACCAGGAAAATGAATAACTATAAGAAAGTGAAAATCAAAATCAACAAAAAACAATGAACCAGAGAGACTCTATGGGGGGTGGGGGGCGGGGAGGGGAGGGATTGGGGTCAAAATAAGGGGATTGCAATTATATGGGGAATATAAAAATAAAATGTATTTAAAAAAAAAAAAGAAAAGATTTAGGGCCTCCCCAGTGGCGCAGCGGTTGAGCGCTGGGTTGCGAAGCTGCCCGCAGCCTCTGCAGCACCGGTTCGATCCCCGGCTGCTCCCCGGCCACCGGAGGAGGGTCCCACATGGCGCGCAGACCTCTCCTGCCGCCCGCTGCTCCCCTCAGCAGTGTACTTCGGTCCTTCTGCCTGCTCTGCTCCCCGCTCTGGCTCTGGTGAATTCTCTCACCCTCCCGTGCTTCTGACTGTACCCAGTGCATGTATAAACGAAACAAACAAATAAATAAATTAAAAAAAAGCATGCCTCTATAAAAAAAAAAAAAGAAAAGAAAAGATTTAGATCAACAAAAGAAAAGGTGAAAACTTGGTGAGCAGTGTCAAAGTGAAATGAATGGATAGGATTTGGATAGGAGTAACAAGGTATTCAGATTAGGTCACAGCTTCTGGGAGACCAAAGCAGAGTGGAATGGTTGGGCATGTTGGGAATTAGCTGCAGACATGGCTTATATATATGGAATGGGGCCATATTATATGAGAGAATACAAGTTCTATCTTAAGCTTCTACTCCCACCTCCACTTTTCTTCTGTATACCATGTTGCTGTATGATAACCACATAATTCTGCATAATTATTTGTTTACATATCAGTCACAAAGGGTCTCTGTAAGGTCAAAGATTGCCTAGCTTAATTTTGTGTTCCTTGTCCTTAACACAGTGCTGTCAAAAACAGACCTTCAACAACTCTGTGATGGCCCACGAAATATACTTATTTTTTTGGTATTTGACTACTTACTTGTGTATGATGGTAAAAGGAATACTTACTCTGATAAACTCATTCATTGCTATATCAGATGATAACTTTCCCTATTCTTTCATTTTTTTTCCAGATTCCTGGTGCCCCTGATGATGAAGCAGTACGAATATTTTTAGAATTTGAGAGGGTTGAATCTGCAATTAAAGGTAAGTCATACAGCTAAATATAAAGAATAAAAACGTTGAATTTGTAGTCTTAGGCATTATAATTAAAACATGTTCTTGTAACGTTTTACAGGATAACTGTTTACTAACTGTCTTTTTGTTTGCCTTTTAGCTGTTGTTGATCTGAATGGGAGGTATTTTGGTGGACGGGTGGTAAAAGCATGTTTCTACAATTTGGATAAATTCAGGGTCTTGGATTTGGCGGAACAAGTTTGATTTTAAAACCTAGAACACGAGTCACCTCCAGTGATCCTTAAATGAACTGCAAGCTGAGCAAAGAAGAAAAATCCAGCCTGCGTGGCTGTTGGGTACAGAGATTCTTGGAAAGACTTCTAAGATATATGTTGATTGATCCCTTTTTTATTTTGTGGTTTTTTAATATAGTATAAAAATCCTTTAAAAAAAAAATCTGTGTGCCTCTCTAGTGGTTTCTCTTTTTTGTTATCACTTCTGAGTTGATTGCATTTTTGCTTGGAATTCATAATTCAGTGAAACAGCATTTCTTGCACTAGAAAACCTAGAAAATTTTGGAACTTGGGGTTGTATTAAGTTATCCTTTGCTTTTGTTTTTTTGATTCCTTTTAATAAAGCCTACAAGTTACTAAACTGTAGCTTCCTAAATTCTATAATAAAGTTATCATTTTGGCAGTCTGCCAAAAATGTCTGCTTTCTCTAACAGAGAAATTATTATTGATGCCAGTCATAGAAAAAAATCTTTACGACCTGAATTAAGGTTGAAGAATTATGAACCTACCATGACCTGTTTGGATGAAGCATTTTTGGTAAAATGCAGACTATAGGGCTTATGATGGTTTTAGAGGTATGTAGGTATAGAAATCATGAATCTAGCATTTGTTTTCAGAGATTCAAGCATAGTCTTTAGAGCAGAAATGACCAAGTTAATTCAAAACTTTGCAGTATATTGTAAATGTGTGCCCAGTTATGTTTTGAAAGTGATGATTCTTTGGGAGTCACATTTCTACTAGCAAAATTTGCAATAGTGTTAGTTTTCATAAGTAATTTTTAAATTTCTAATAATTCTGGAATTATGGAAAATTGTACTACTGACGTACAGTGGTATTTGTGGCTTAAAAAATTTAGAAGGACCACAAAAACCAAAATAGAAATATTCAGTACTGAGGTTCATTATCAAAACAGGAAGTATTTCCAGAATATACTTGTGCCTGTGTTCTGTTCTTTACTTGCCAGAATATTGCATGTGACTTTCCTGAAGTGGCAACTGAGGGACATGCACCTAAGTTGTCTCTTCAGGTTATTATGACATGAAAGTGTGTTGTCACCCTTTGGGGGAAGAAAGCACTGAACATTTCTTTGCATCCATGGACTTGGTTTGGAGACATAAGGAATATTCTGACCCTTTTTAAAAAAGGATTTTCTCATGTTTTTATTTAACATAAATAAAAGAATAACATTTTCTCTTTTGTGGTATTATTTTACTGAATAAAATTTAATTGACTCGGTTTCTGTGAAAAAAGTGCACAATGTTCTATGAAAGACATTTGAATTACAGAATATAAGACAAAAAACTGCCTAAATGAGCATTTTGCAGGACATAAAAATCAACAGCATCCCTGAAACTTGAGTGGCTCTGTCAGTGAATTGAGCTGCTGATATTTCTGGACATTATGCTCTATGCCTGAATATCTCAGTTTGCTGGTACTGAGTATATATTTTGACAGCTTAGTTTAACTTGTATAAATGTTAACTTGTATAAACTTAACTTAAAGCTTAAGTTCCAAAATGCCAATAATGCTTGCATTATTGTTATGCTTTACAATAACCTCATTTTTTGTTCACATTTAGATGGCTTTTCCAGACGTTTTCTTGAGCAGCAATGAGAGAAATGCAAATGACTTGCACAACTTTGACTTTTATTAGCATGGGTACAACTTAATATCTATCTTCCTCGTTCCTCTAATTACTACTTTTTAAATATCCATGATTGCATTAATCATTACTGCAGTATTTATAATTAATTTCTGATAATGGAATAATTTCTAAACCTCCTCCAAAATAGTATTTAAGAAATCTGAAATTTTTATTGACCATACTAACATCGTATTAACATCAATGTAAAAATGTCAATATAAATTAAAAATGAAGTTATAACTAGAAAGGTTCACTGTAATAGACTTTTGTCACTCTTGGTGGCCCATCTGTGGCCTGCGAGTCCTTCCTGTCGTGGAGTTTCCCACATGCCATCCCCTGCATAAGGTAGAGTAGGAGCCAAGGCAAGGGCACGGCCCTGGACTCTTCCAGACAGAGGTGTCCCCCAAGGCATCTGTGCGGAGCAGAGCTGTGAAGACTCTGCTCTTGTCCTTGCAAGGGTACCCTGTGCTGAGCGCTAGGGGAAGTACTGTGTGTGTGTGGTGTCTGTGGCGGAACGCTCTGGGGAGGAGTGTTTAGGTTTGGTTTGGGAGTTCTCTTTATGAAGCCACCGAAGTCTGTTAATACTCAGTTATTATGACACGGTATTTGCTCAATGAAGAGCAACACGTAGATCCTGTTCTGTGAAATACTGTTAAGTTTTCCTTTGTTTCGGTTTTCAGTTAGACATTCACAAAACTTTTTTTTTTTTTAGATTTATTTATTTATACAATCACTGGGTGCAGTCAGAAGCGTGGGAGGACGAGAGAATTCAGAGCCAGAGCGGGGAGAAGAACAAGCAGAGGGACCAAAGTACACTGCTGAGGGGAGCAGCGGGCGGCAGGAGAGGTCCGCGCGCCATGTGGGACCCTCGCTGGTGGCTGGAGATCAAACCGGCGCTGCAGAGGCTGCAGGCAGCTTCGCAGCCCATCGCTCAAGTGCTGCGCCACCTGGGGAGTCCCACAAAACTTTTTTTTTTAAAGTAACCTAAAACTTTTTTAAGTTTGAGAAAGGGAAAGATTGGAGAAATGTTTTACATGTAGATTGCTTTGAGTTCATACAACTATGATAACAGAGAAAGACAGTTGTATGGCCTACTGATAGAAAATGTACTGTTACAGTGCTAGGAACTTACGGATTTGGTAGCAACTCTACAAGTCCACATCAAGGTATCCAGGGCTGTGCTTGCTGAAGGCTCTAGCGGAGGATCCTTCTTTGCCTCTTCCTACCTTCTGGTGGTTGCCAACCACATCACGCGAATCGTCATCCCATGGCATTCTACTTGTTTCTTATGAGGGCACCAGTCATACTGCATTTAGGGCTTATCCTACTCCAGTACAACCTTATCTTAACTGATATATCTTCAAGGTCCTATTTTCATGTAAGATCAGACTGAAGTTCCATGAAAGAAACAGGAAGGACACATTCAACTCGGCTTGAGTATATTTGTCCCTCACCAAAAAATTCTAAGATAAGCAGTCTAGAGGTGACCAGTGAATGTATGGGAAACCCAGATGCTACCTGTCCTCTGTCATTCTTAACTATGTGTGTTCACTTTGGTCTGTGGAGGCAGCCTTCCACCTGCAAGTGAGAGAGATGGAGGAAGTTCTTTAATATTACAATACAGTATATCTGCTTTTATCACATGGGACAAAACTTAGTCACATGCATAGCTAGCTACAAAAAAAAAAAAAAAACTAGGAATATAGCCTTTGGGAACATAGCTTTGTGATCCGCTAAAACTGGGAAGTTCTGAGGAAAAATGGTGAATGGATACGAGGTAGCACCAGCAATCTTACACAGTCAGAGTGACTGACTTCCCCACAACGTGTAAAAAATAATTCCCTAAATGAATACAAAAGTTAACTGTTTGTTAAATTTTCTACATGTCTTAAAAGTATGTAGGAATCAGAGATGGCTAAGGAACTCCTAAACTGCCATTTTTTTTCCCCCCAAATGAAAGTCAGACCTACAGCATTGCTACAGAAGCTCAAAGGGAGTTTTGATGCTTAATGTCTAGAATCTTGCAAGAATAACTCAGTCCCAGACTCCCAAATCCTGCCCCAAGGCTCTCTGGTGCAGAGAAATTGGTGTTCCTTAATGTCCTGCATCTGGATATCACAATCCTCTAGGCTACTCTCTTCCAAATGTGATCGCTCCCTTGCCCCTTCCTACAAGGTGTTCATTAAGCTTCCAGAGACTTGGAAAGATCTGTGCAACAATCTAAGAAATCTGGACTCTACCGAAGAAAACAAAAGGGAAGAAGGTCTTTTTGATAAAGATACATTCACACACAAACACACAAAATTCCCTTTAGCTCTATAGGAAGTTTTAAGGAGACTGGGACAAGGATGGAGGAGAATTTTTTCATTTCCTGTCGCCTCATATCTTCCCTGGCCTGGTGAGTCATCATGTTCACTTGGACTCACGGTCTCTGACGCATATAGCTTATTTTTCTGTCAGACTATTAATGTTGAGGTGAGCTTCCTGTCTGCAAAGATCATGTTCCTCACTTCCTTCACAATGCTATCTTCACTTTAGCCTTTATAGGACAAACAGTTGTCACTGCCTTATCAATTAACAGATTTCAACATACTTAGTCAAGGAGACTTCCCAGTGGAAAGAAAGGGCTTAGTCATCTCTCAGCCCAAATTTATAACGATGTGCGGGGGAGGGTTAGGAACAGGACAAAGTACAAGGAAACAGTGTAAGAGGCACATGACACCTGCAAACGTGTGTCCTTGGCCTGAGTTTATTCTTGCACATCTCCATCTTTTCATAGCTTCCTTATCTTGAAACAGGATATGCCCCAAATGGCAGGGCACTGTGGCTTCCGCTTGAGAGTTTCTAACCAAAGAATCTCATCCTTTCCCTTGAGGAAATAAAAACAAACACATTTCACTACAATAATGATGCTCAGATTCTCTATAGACTTAAAAATGAAAAATTGCTTATAAAACTCATGAATGCATTTACCTCAGCAATAAGAGTAGATATAATTTCCACATTTTGCTGCATTTCACCAACTATTTTCATAACAATGACTATGCAGGAATAAAGGCAGTGCATTTTCCTCCAAATGCATATTTTATAAAAATAAACCCTCCTCCTCACATGTCCTTTTAGGTTTCCCACCAATCACCCACACACCCCTCATTCTGAACAGCTAGTCCCTTCCTACTAGTTACAAGCCTTTTGGGAAGACCCAGAAGGTGTTTCTAAAGACTGAACAGTTCCAACTGAGGGGTACCAACACTGCCCTTTGATGGCCAATAGCAAGTTTGTGTTGAAATGTTTCATCATCCCAGGGCATAAAGGGAACTAGGCTGGAGTAAGATGTTGAACTTTGTGAAATAACTTATAAATTTATAATTTATAAATACTAAGCAGAAAGTAGTAATATAAACTTGCTTCTTCCAACATTAAGACACCATCTCTCTGCTTAGCTACATAAAGTAACCACTGAAGCCAAATTACATAATTTGTTGACTGGAGCAGGTTGAAATACAGTTTAGGAGAATTATATATTTGTATACTGGTTAGACATTAAATAAGTACTTTTAACTGCTATTGTACCGTTAGGTATTATGAAAATTAATAATATAACTACCAAAATCATACCGGAAATGGCATAAACATGGTTCTCAAATATTTAAAAATGCTATGAAAAAAAGATGAAGGTATAATTGGCCTGAAGAACACATTTAAGACTTAGAGAAAATATATTAATATTTTTTCTTTTTTTCTTAGAGTCATATTAAAACAAAAAATTCCAAAGCATAAACCCTTTACTGAAGTTACTGAACATTCATCTGTACTAGAACCTCAGATTTTAACTGGCTCATGTGGTTTTGCTGATTGTTGAAAGGTAAATAGACTCCTTCTACCTGGCCAGAGAGAGACAAAACTTTTGTTCTAAGCCCTCACCAATTTTCAGTTCTCAGTCCAGGCAGCCAACCAAAGATGGCTGATAATATCCTATCCAGATGGCAAAGCTGTACATCAGACTAACCTACAAAGACAGGCAATGGTGAACTTCAATTTAATCGTGGGAATCTGAAATAGTTCCTTTTAGTAAAATGCTTTAAAATCTTTAGTCAAAGATTGGTGTTTGTCTAAAACTTTGAGTTTTAAGGAAGGATATGAAGAACATTAAACATCCCAAAGAGAATTCTCTCAGCCAACACTGGGTTACTTTGCACAAGACTTGAGAGGCCTCCAGACCCCCACCTCTCTGAACAGGGCACTGTGGGCTCATGTCCTCTCCACCCTTTATTTTCCTACCTACCCCAATTCTAGGAAACATATCTTCTGCTTCCCACCATCCGTGTTACAATTCTGTCTGTAAAGGCAGGAATGGACATGGTGCAGGTTTTCTGATCCCATGCAGACCGGGTGAAGGAGGAGTCAGAGTCCTCAGAGGTTTTTTGCAGGTCTTTTATTGGGGTTTACCAGACATATGGCAGGCAGAGGTGTTGGGGGGCCAGGAGGCAGGCAGGCCTCCCAGCCCCCAGCATGTCTTCACTCTATCTGGGCTCTCTGGCATTCTCTGCTTCTGCTTCTGCTGGCATCCCCGTGACGCCGCCCTTAAAAGCACAGTCTTAGCCCAGGTGAATCCCATCTACCTAGGCCCACACCCTATTCCAGGTGCCCGCCATCAGGCATGCATTCAGGACTGCAAGGATCCATCATCTATCCTGATGGCGGGAGGGAAGAAAAGCCTGATACTTTTCCTTACCCTACACTGTCTAATAAAACAAAAGGGGAAATATCTGGGGTCTCTGGAGGAAAGCTTTTGCTTTTTGGTGAAAGGGAAAGATGCAGCTGGTGATACTCATTTGTCCTATGCAAACTTGAGTGATGTGGGCCCAGTGCCTGGGGAAGCTGCCATGATCAAACTGAGCAACAAGCCTACTTGCTCCAGACTGTGATCAGAGCACCACAGAGTTATTACACCTGCCAGAAAAAAAAACCTTATTTAAGTCACAATAGGCCCCATTTCTGTCTCTTTCTGTTAGGGATGAGCAGAACCATCCCTAACTGATAAAGAATTTGGTGACTCTCCAGGAACAGCGACTAAAATGATGAATTGGTTAAGTGGAGGAATTGGTTAAGTTAGGGTGGCAAGCAGTGAGCACCTGGCTACTTCAGGCTGGAATATTAGTCACCCTTGTCATTTGATAATAGTTATATGGTCACCTGCTGTGACACCCAGAGA